TTTTGCCTTGGGGATGCCGCTTTTGTTGAAAGCAAATATTTAGCTTAGAGAGGACAAGTCTGTGATCAGTCCAGCAGTCTGCACCATACATTGCCTTTATCACTCTCACATCCTGTCTTTCTCTTCTCTTTACAGTCACATAGTCTACTAAATGCAACGTTTGCTGTGAGGGTGCATCCACAAAGTTTTATTGCATTTAGGTAAACAGAAACAGTGTTGGTGATGAGAAGGTCATGAGATGCACAAGTCTTCAGTAGTAAGTGACCATTGCTGTTGCTATTTCCAACTCCATTCCTCCCTAGCACTCCCTGCCAAGTCTGGTAGTCTGAGCCTACTCTAGGATTAAAGTCACCCAGAATTATAAGCTTGTCCTCTTTTGGCACATTGATGATAAGGGTCTCCAGGTCTTCACAAATTTTTTCTTTAACCTCATCAGCGTTCATCATGGTGGAAGCATAGGCACTGATGATGGTGGAGTGACATTTTCCTATAAGTGGTAATCACATTGTCATGAGCCTGTTGGTCACTCATTTTGGTAGGCATACAAGCTTGTTGACTAGATTAGTTTTGATTGCGAAACCTACATCAGCTTTATGGTGCTCTCCTTCACTGCAGCCACTCCAGAAAAATGTGTATCCAGCTTCACCTTCAGTAAGCTGACCTTCATTTACCTGCCTTGTTTCACTCAGGGCTGCTATGTGGATACGATACCTGCTGAGTTCTCTTGCAACAAGAGCTGTTCATCTTTTAGGTCTACTGGATTTTGTGTTGTCTGTAAGTGTATGCACATTCTCTGTGTTGATGGTGAGTGGAATCATCTTTGCAGACGTTTTTGTACATTTTTTTGTATTTCTACCACAGAGTGGGATTCCCTGCCTGCCGCAGTAATCAGGCGAGGGTTGGGTAAGCAGACAATTTTTAGGGCACCTTTTCTAGCCCCTTCCTCACACCAGGAGATGAGCAGTGTGATCCTTAAAAGGCTGCTCAGACACCCAGGGAGCTGCCGAATCCCACTGCTGCTTCCAGTGAGAAACGACCCTATGGCCTGGGCCACCTGTGTGCAGGATTGTGACTACAGCTTCCAGTGTATCTGCACCAGCTGCTTCGTCAATTGCCTGTTGCCACAAGACTTTGAGGTGATGTCCGTTGATTCATGCATAAATTGGATTTAAATGAGGCAGAGTTGCACAAAGTCGTCGGCCTCACTCTCTCCTCCAGAGTCATCACAGTCCAGTGGTAGGACAGAATCAAGACAACTGGTGATGGCTCAAGATGCAGTGGATGACCTTGGTGTCTTTGATGTCTAACCAAGCTCTAAGCACTGCACAGTGCCTGCTTTAGCTGCCATCATGGCCATTGGAACAAATTGTTCTCATCTGCCCATTCCACCAGTGGAAATCTTCACATGTTTGGGGTAGACACCTCCCTAACTCACCAATGGATCTGAGACCCTTTGGTTACCCTTTGGTTTAACCCGTCTGCCGTAATGGTTTACCAGGGTGTGGCTGCTGTGCATGCTACAGCTTCTTGGAGCCACAGGTGAGAATTAGGTAGAATAGGTGGACACCAAAGGTGGAAAGCAGCCCTGAAAATGGCTTGGCAACCCACACACCAGAGGTACTAGTCTTCCCTGAGCACACCTGAACATATCCTTTGATATTTTCTTTTAATGGATGGCAAGGAAGGGAGCTAGTGGCAGATAGTGGCAGGTAGGTAGTACAATGGATGGAATGCTGTGCCTGGAGTAAGGAAGACTCATCTTGAGTTCAAATAAGGTCTTGGATGTTTACTAGCTGTGTGACCCTGGGCAAGTGTAAAACCCTGTTTGTCTCAGTTTCCTCATCTGTAAAATGAACTGGAGAAGGAAATGACAAACCACTCTAGTGACTTTGCCAAGAAAACCCTGAAAGGAGTTATGAAAAGTTGGACTTGACTGAAAATAACTAAACAACAAGGGAAAGGAGTTGTTGGGTAATGAGACTTATAGAAAAAGAGCATCAATGAAATGCTTGCAACATAGAAGAGAGAAGAATGTTCAGAAGATGATAGGAGGATATTTTGTTACTATGTACTAAATTTAACATACACAAAAAAACAAATTAAGTAGCAAGATTACAATTTGATATTCATTCCTTTTTTTCTGTTCTTTGTAATGCTGAAATATCCTTGATAAGTTTATAAGAAAATATAAAACGATAAAAAGAGGTCATTCACCATGAGCATCTTTTTCCCTTCACTATATCTCAAAACCCCTTGACTTCGCTCACTCTTTCCCCCTCCGCTACTCAATCTCTGAGAGTGAGTTGTCAAGGCCAACCCCTCTACATGTATGTCATTGATCTCACTCATTCCAGCAGATTGGCTCCCATCCCCTACCCTATAGGGGTCATTCCCTTCCTCTCCAGTCTTTAATCTCTCTTATCTATTGGTTCTTTCCTTGCTACCTACAATCTTACTCAAATGAAAAAATTCTCATGTGTTCTCTCAAGTTATCATCCTACATTCTATATAGTATTGAAATGGCTTAACTATTGAGTTGAAGTCAGAGAGGGAGGAAAGTGAAGTCAGAGCAGGTATGAGCTGAGAAAGTATTGAGGGGCAGAGGAATTGGAGGTGTCAATGACAGGTTTAGGAGGGGTGAAACATAGGAAAAGGCAGAATGATAGGAGGTTGTGTTCAGATAAGGGAATGCCAAAGTTTTCCAATTAAGGAAGTGACACATTTATGGGTAATGGCAAGCTTTATTATGGGATTATCCCTGTGTATGGCTGAGATGGAGTGATGAAGTAGGTCATGGGATTTAAATAGGCTGAAGAATTGGGAGTTTAGGGAGTTTGAAGGACCTAATATAAGGGCAAAAGTTAGGGAGAAAAAGACTATGGTAAGCCAGAATGAGGTTAATGAAAGTCAAGGTTTTAAACCTAGGTGTCTGAAAGGATAGGTTCCTTAGACAGAAATAGGGACATTTGGTAAAGGGGTGGGGTGGGGTTGAGTTTTGGGATAAAGCTAATGAGTTCTATTTTGGATACATTAAATATGTAGGATAGCCAGTTTCAAATGTCTGTCAGGCAATGTGTGGGACTTGGAGGTTAGGAGAGAGACTGGAGCTGGCTACATAGATCTGAGATTCATCTGCGTAAAGATGATAAACCTATAGGAACTGATGAGGTGATAACAGAGTATTGGAAAGAGAAAACAGAAAAAGACCCAGGATCATACTTTGGGTATGCCCTAAGTTAGCAGGAATTTTATATGTGTGTGTGTGTGTGTGTATGTGTGTGTGTGTGTATGTGTGTGTGTGTATAGACATATATATACATATATATGTATACATACATACATACATACAGAGAGAGTCAGCAAAGGAGACTGGGAGGACAAATCAGATAAGTCAAAGTAAGAGGAAAACCAGCAGAGAGTAGTGTCACAAAACCCTAGAGAAGAAAGTATTCAGTAGGAGAGTCAACAGTGTCAAATGCTTCAGAGGGGTCATATGAGAAGAGGACTAAGAAAATACTTTCAGCTTGAGCAATTAAAAAATCATTGGAAACTCTTCAGTAACTTCATCAGCTCCCATGGATTTAACTGTCATCTCTCTGCAGATGACTTCCAGATCCATCCCTAGCCTCCCTCTTGAGCCTCATTTCCACATTGCAAATTCTCTATTGGATATTTCAAACTAGATGTATGACCTTAGGACTGACACTTCAAAATTGACTTCGTTATGAACATCTCACCATCCCTCTAGTCTCCTAGGTTTGTAACCTCAGCATTACTCTGGATTCCCCCTTCTTCCTCATCCACAGTATCTAATCAGATACCAAATATTGCCATTTCTAACTTCAGCAACATCTCTCTGCTAACCCTGAAAATACCAGAGTTCACAGAGGTTGTACCCCAACTGTCAACTCTGAAAAGTAAAATAAAATCAACCAAAGAGCCACAGAGATTATTACACCATCTGTCAACTCTGACCAGAGCATGGAGGTCCTGATATCTCAAACCTGACCCCTTCACTTACACAGCTACCTCCTTAGCTGAGGCTCTCATCACTTTTCACCTACATTATTGCAGCAGCCTCCTAATTGCTCCCTTTTTCATGTCTCTCCCCACTCTAGTCCTACATGTTGTAGCCAAAATAATTTCCCTTAAACACAGTACTGACTCTGTGACTCCTCTACTCAATCACCTATAATGGCTTCCTTTTGTCTTCAGGATAATATATGAACTCTTTTGTTTAGCTTTTAAAATCTTATACGATCTCACCCTAATCTATTTTTTTCTGCCTTATTGGATATTACCCCCATCCTCTACTCTGTATTCCAGTCAAATTGAAATCCTTTCTGATCTTCACACAAAGTACGACATCTCTCATTTGTGTCATGCCTTTGCACTGGTCCTCTCATCTGCCTGGAGTTTTTTTCATTTGTTATTGTTGTTTGTCCTTCATTCTTGAAGAAGACCATGACATCAGGGAGGTGATACCATGACATGCAAGTGAATTGGATTTAAGTGAGGGAGGGCTGTGCATAGTCACCAGCCTCACTTTCTCCTCTGGAGCCTTCTGGGTCCAGTGACCAGATACAGATCAGGATGACTGGAGATGGCCCTGGATGCTCATTTAAGATGCTGCTCAAGCACTGTCTTCCATAGTTAGCCTTTCCTGATTCTCCCTCACCCACCTAAACCTTATATTTAATTACTTTGTATATATTTATTTTTTACTCATTTTATATTTATGCCACACACACACACACACACACACACACACACACACACACACACACACACACACACACACTCTGGAGGCCTTCAGATAAAGGTAGTGTTACTTACCCAGGATTTCATTATAGAGAGTTCATGATTCATACAGGAATTGGGTTTGGTAATCTCTTACAATCCTTTCCAACTCTTAAGATTTTGCCTTCTTTGATAGCCACACTAGCCCATATGTGAAAGAAAGAATAAGATATTAAAGTTATGTGCTTTTTACTTTCTAGGCTACTGTTACTCAGACACAAGAATGGTTTACAATGGCAAAACAAAGCCAGCAAACAGTGACAACCTTCTCATCACCTACTTGTATATCCAGCACTAGGATTCAAGAGAAAGCTTTTGAGGGTAAGCAGAAGTGGCAGATTTCAAAACAATGAAAATAGTGAAGTTTGAGCTATTCTTTAGCCTTAACCATCTCTTGTTCTATTGTTACAGTATGGCATTTTGTGGTTTTGTTGATAGAGATGAAAAGGGAGAGTCTTCCTTCTCTCCACATTATTATAACATGTTTCTTTACCTTCTAAATCAATCAACCCCTGCTCTGAAGGTGAGACTTTCAAGAGGCTGGACAAATCTCCACTGGGGAAAGCTTCTAGAGCACGGGATCACTAATCTGGCACCCATGATCTTTTTTTTTTCCATAAAGAACTATTTCAATATAATTGGTTTCAATATAATTTTTATGCATTAAAAAACATTCTGAGAAGAGGTCCATAGGCTTTACCAGGCTGCCAAAGGGGGATCAGAATGCAAAAAAAGATTAAGAACCCTGGTCTTGAGGTTGAGACAACTGTCATGGAGAGAAAGGTGCAGTATTGTTAAAGGTGTAGGTCCAGAAATAGGAATACAGCTAGAGCTCAGCCATTGACCCTACCATTTTTATCTTAACCCCCCTGAAAAAATGTAGTCTGTATCCCACAGTTGTCCAGTACCATTTATTCCCTTTTGGATTCTTTGCCCTACAAACTAACCTTATAGCTAGTTGAAAGGAAAACAAATTCTCCTATCTCATGAGATATGTGATTCTATGAATTCAGTCTGCCAAACTCTGTGATTCTTGGATAAACAAGGTTTTCTCTATTTAACTCCCAGAATTTGGAAATACAAAGGGGTAATGGTCAGGGAAACTAGTCAGTGGCATCCAGGGACTGTTTTGTTTTATCTGTCTATCTATCTTTCTATCTATCTATCTATCTACCTATATCTCCAGGGCTTGCATGTAGTAAATACTTATTTAATGTTTGTTGAAAGGGTGAAAGGAAAGCAGAAGTATCAATGTTACTCCTTACTATAACTTTCTTCTGTGCTATAATTCTACGTTTGTACTTGGCTTTAGTAGTTTAGTAATAGTAGTAACAGAACTTGAGTAAACATTTTCCTCCTGTGTTAAGATAAGGAAGGTACACCTCCAAAAGGTTTATAAAAGATCATTCTCCTAACATGGGGTTGGGGATTGAACTCACTAATTTTCAGCAAAAATAAAAATGAAATGTTTCCAGTTTATTTTAACTAAAATGTGTTGAATGATAAATTGGAATTGGTCAGAACATGAATGATGCCTTGCCTTGTTCGGGTACTTCTGAAACCAATTGAATATATGGTGTGGAATACAATAAGGAGTCTATCTTTTACTGCTTTGAAAGAGGAAGAAAGGGGAGATAGGAGGATGACTCCAGTCACAAATATAGGATCCTTTACTTTGAAGGAATTTGGAGGGAATGGCATGCTTGTATATTTATAGAGGGGCCCAAGCATGAAGTGAACATGAGGGGTAACTAATGGCTAGCTTGCTTGCTGTATTGGTATCCATGGTATCCATGAAAGCTTCTAAAGGAAGGTCTCTCACATTCTAATGGGACCCCTAGTGAAGGTTTTGTTGGAAGATGTGGACAACAGCTGTTGCACAAGATGTCCTTTTTTTTTGGCCAGGCAATGGGGTTAAGTGACTTGCCCAAGGTCACACAGCTAGTAAGGGTTATGTGACTGAGGCCGGATTTGAACTCAGGTCCTCCTGAATCCAGGGTGGATGCTCTATCCACTGCGCCACTGAGCCGCCCTTGTACAAGATGTAAATGTCTAGGTTGTGACTGGCGTTTTTGGAAGCAGAATCCACACTGATGAGCTCACAGATCTGTTGACCTATGTACAGAGTTTGTAGACAGGCTTTGTGCTATTCAGAAAGTTTTAACTTTAATAGCTTAGGTTGTAAAGGCTATAAAAAAAAGAAAACAGACCCTCACCTTCCCAGTAAAGGTGGTTAAATTTTTTCCCCTTAGCTTGTCATAGGAAAGGACCATAGAAACCATCTGTTCCAGCCTCCTCATTTTACAAATGAGCAAACTGATGCCCAGAGAGGTTAAGTTACTTGCCCAATGTTACGCGATTAGTAAGTAATAAAAAAAAAAATGAAGGTTTTGAACCCAACTCGTCTATCTCCAGAACCAATGCTTTTCCCACTATACCACACTGCCCTTCAAATTATGAAATGATCATATGGGGACACAATTTACTTTGTTTTCTGTGTGAGCTACTTTTCATTTGTCATAGAATATGAAATCATATATTGAGTTTAGTTGTGTGACATAGTTGTCATAAACATTCATATGGTATATTAACATTTTAATATATTGTTTCTGTTATGTCTACAACAAGCCAAGCTACTTAAGTTTAAAAGTTAAGGAATTATATGCAAACCTCTCTATATCATCTATGTAATAAAACAGTTTGAACTAATGGTCTTTTTAATGATTGATGATTTAATCCAAAAGGTGATGACATTTTTGATGAATCTATGAAGAAAGATTCAAGTGCTACTCCTGGATCATCGTTAGAAGTTTTGGATCAAGAAAGGTCTATATCTATTAGAGACACTCCTTCTCATGCTCTTTTGAGAATTTATTTAGAAAGAAAACGGGAGACCATTAAAGATTTGGAAGTATTTTTCCCAACACTTCAAGAATTTGTAACCTGTTATATAGACTTTATTATGAAATCAGCACTGGCAAAATTTGCTGAACAGCCATTTACAGACAGTGAAGAAGTTATAAACTTCAATAAGGTTGCACGAGTGGTGATTCAAGAGCAGGAGGAAGCTGAAAGGAAAAATTTAGATTTTTCTGCGGAAATCAAACAGAAAGAGTTTGATGAGAACTTAGAGCTAGTGAGTTTATGTTCAAGAACTGAAAGCGTTGGATCAGATGCCAGAGCTGATTGGTGTATTTCCCATAAGACGTATGACATTGGCACCAGGAAAGAGTTTGAAAGATTTAAGAAGTTTATAAAAGGGACAGTAGGGGAGAGATATCGGTGGCTCTGGATGGATATTGAAAGATTAAAGGTTCTTAGGGACGCTGGAAGACGTCGAAGGTATTTTTCCTTTTGTGAAATTGTTATTTTTTTTAAATAAAAATGTTTATTTGAGTTGTTTTTCCATTAGTTCAATAAATCTTTTTGACCCTAAAATAATTGGTGCTCTGAGAGGAAATGATTATTATTAAAAATTGAAATTATGATTGTTATTAATATTAGCTTTCCTTAGGCTTTGATTTTCATTGTCTACAAATAATAAAAAATAATTCACTGAATTTGTAAAATATTTTCCCATGAGAGTTCAAAATACTTTCACATTTGTTATTTTTATCCTTATAATATTCCTGTGGCCAAGGTTTTGCTTTCCTTCTTTTATGAGTGAGGAAACACACTCAGAGAGGTAAATGTCTTGTCCGAGATGACAATCGTTGTTTTGGCCAACATAAGAACTCCTCTCTCTGATAGTCGTTGTAGTGGTCTTGAGGAGACTACTGTTCACACTAGGATATTGGTATTTTTTATGTGCTGTTAAAGATTACCATGGTAACTGGGAGTAAAAGCCATGAAATCTCAACATGTGCCTGTATGTCTGTCTGGCTCGTGTAGTGGAGAGTCCCTTGGAAATCTTGGCCTGGTTTTATATGGACTTAACGTCTTCATTGGGCTAGCTCTATGGTATTGAACTAATTTGAACTTAAGAGATATGAAGCATCTTGCTAGATTGCACCCGATTGACAGAGCCCTAGTCTTAGTCAGACTTCTAAGGACTGAGCCACACCCTTTGGAGTGTGAAGATTCATTAGATTTTAGCTCCTATTGAGATATTTAGACTGAGCACATAAATATTTACTATGTTCCTCCACTGAAAATTTTTTTTTTGGCATATGCAGGTTACAGAGCTAATATTTACACTGAATCAACAATGATACAACAATGGTTCCAAAGTGCTTACTTGTGGATCATGAAAAACCACTACTCTAGGCTTCTAAGCATTTCTAACATGGAAGAGACATTTCTAAAAGTGTCCTTCATAGTTTTTTTCCTCTTAATTGCTTAGGAACTTGTCAGAACTTTCTCCAATCTCATGATATGAAGGCTTCCAAGAAATTAAAAAAAAAAGTTCTTCCTCACAAAACATTGGGACCTCTGAAATAAAATTTTGATTTTAATATGACTTCTAAATTGTATGGAGGTTTGGAAATTATAGGTTTTTTGCTAATTTTGATGGTAATTATATGTTCTGTGTGTTTCCTTTTATTCTAGACACCTTGAGAAGATGAGAAAATGCTATCTAGTGAGTAGTGGAGAGTGCTATCTCACTCCAGAAATCTTATTAAAACTTAATCTAATAGATGGATCTCATTGGAATGAACCACATTTGAGATGCATTCAGGCTGAAGTTGTGAAACCCTTACTCCAGTATTGGTAGGAAAAACTGAAGCTTAAATTATAAAGTTATTTAATTTGTCTTCCTTAGACTGTGTAGAAAAATTGTTTTTAACAGACTTAGGGAGTATAAAAATCTGAAGTGGTAAAGTCACATTGAATCATTTAGAATAACAGTCATAATTTTCCCCCAAAGCCTCCAATTTTAAAAACTTCTTAAAAGTTAGAGGAGCAGCTTCCTTAGATACCTTAGGTTTTTACCATGCTTGAGATCATAGAGTAGACCAGAAATCATACAACATCTTTCCTAAATCAGTGATCATCTCTTGAGTCTGACTTATTTACTCTTTCTACCCCTTCAATTGCTGTGGCCCTGATTTATCTTCCTGCCCATCCTATTCCAAAACATTCTTTCAATTGTTTATTTAGCTCCTTACAAACCAAGTCAGACACACTCAGACTTTCTCTTCTCCCATCTTCCACATAGCTGCCAAAATGATTTCCTTGAGGGCGGATGTGATCGTGTCATTTCAAATGACTGCCTATTGCTTCTAGGATAAGATAGAAATTCTTCTGTTTTACTTTTAAAGCCATTTACAACTTGACTCCCACCTATCTTTCTAGCATCATTATACACTATTTCCCTTTTAATTATACTATGGTCCAGCCAAACTGGCTTCTTTCTATTTATTCTTCTATCTATTCATCCTTTCCATCTATTCCTATCAATTGCTCCATCTCCCTATTCTATTTCTTTGGCTGGAACATTGTCCTTCACTTCTGCCCCACAAAAGTTTTCACTTCCTTCAAGACAATAGTTCAAACATTAACTTCTACATCTTTCACAGGGATTTTTATAAACCCTTTAGCCTGCTAACTCTCTACCCCATTGGCTGTCTTCTATTTTGTATTTATTCTATATAGAATCATTATATACATATATATATACATATATATATGTAGTCTCCCCTGATAGAATATAAGCTCATTGAGAAGAGACTTTTGATTTTTTTTTTGTTTCCCCAATTCCTCAAACAGTGCCTGGTCCTTAATAAAGGCTTGTTTGAATCATTGAAAAGAGAAACTTTAGGAGGAGGTACATAATATAAGACTGTCATACAGAGATGTAACAGTTTAAAGTACTCTCATATAGGATTAGACTTGTTCTAGAGTCCAGAGGATAAGATTAGCAGTAGTGGGTGAAAGCTACAGAAAGGCTAAGTCAGTCTTGATTTGAGGAAAAATTTCCAAAGAATTAGAACTATCTCGAAGTAGAAAGGACTGCTTTAGGAGTCATTGAATTTCATGTCGCCTGAAAACTTTAAGGAAAGACTAGATGACCACTTGCTCTATAGAGGGGATTCTTGTTCAGCCTTGAATTGGGCTACATGGTTTCTGAGGAATCTCTCAAGTCTGAACGTCTTTGATTCTGTGAATTCATCAAATACCATAGGGAACAACGTGAATAGAGACTAAGGTAGGAAAGCATGAGACAGTAGTATAATTACAGTGGATGGAATTACAGTGTGATACCAGATTGTAGAGCAGTTTAAATGCCAGGCTAAAGAGTCTGAACTCTTTATGTGAATTGTGTGCTAACTCACCTCTCACATACAATTACTCGCTCCCTGATTTCACATACAAATATTGGGTAAATATGCATCGTCACCTTTCTGGATCAGTAACAAAAGATTCCAAAATGTTGGCCTCAGCTGTTTTTGTAATAGGATATTGACTACCCTAAACTAATTACAGATATTCAGATTGCTGATTTTTCTCTAGTCCCATCATCCCACTTGGCTTTCAAATTCTAGAACCATTATTGAATCATAAGCAGTAGTGATATTGCTACTGGAAAAGGTGCAAACCTACTCTACAGCTGTATTCATAACTTGTAACTTTCCAAACTAAAATACTCCTCCCTGGCTACCACTCTCCTCTATGTCCTGTCTCCCCCCTGTTAGAATGTAAGTTCCTTGAGGGCAGGGACTATCTTCAATTTTGTATTTGTATCCCCCGTGCCTCTTGGCACATAGCACTTAATAAATGCTTTTTTGTTTATTTATTAATTTCAGTCAGTCAGCCAGTCAGTAAACATTTATTAAGCACCTACTATGTGCTAGGCACTGTGCTAAGTGCTGAGGATGCCAAGAAAGGCAAAGGAGAGTCCCTGTTCTCAAGGAGCTCACAATCTAGTAGGGGAAGATCATACACAAAAAGAAGCTGAAAAGGTGGGTTACCCTGTATGGGTGGGGCATTATGAAATCCTGCAGGTGGGTGAGAAATTCTGAGATGACTGCCCTGGGTCTTTCCTTAAATGGAGGCTCTGGGAAGGCTTTCCAATGTCCACTCTCTGTCCACTCCAATCAGAGAGAGTGAGGCCTCCCTGCCAGAGGCAAATGGTACTGAGGAGATGTGCTTTCAGATTTGATGTGATCTTGAAGAAAGATGAGTTTCTGGAGACAATGACAAAGTCTAGGAGAGCAGCCAGGTGGGACATGATCATTTATTTATTTATGGATTAAAGGCAGATTTGCCATATACTAAATTCTACTCTCTGAAATTCTGGTATTTCCTATTCACCTTATGATGATGAGCAGTAAGAAAAAGGTGGGGATGACTAGAAATGGATCATACATTCACAGAGCTAAAAAAAAAAAAAAACCTTAGAAATTATCTAGTCTACCTCCTCCCTTCATTTTCAAGATGAGTAAGCTGAGGACTACAGAGGTAAAATGACTTGCCCAAGACCATACAGGTAATAAGTGACAGAGCTGGGATTTGGATTCAGGACCTCTGACTCCAAATCCTTTGCTTTTTCCACTGTAGCATGCTATCTCTTAGAAAATAGTTAGGTCTGACTTTGGTAGTTGGGGCCAAATCGGTATATTGTAAATTTTGTAGACTTTTGAAAATGTTTTTATGACCAAAGATATGAGGAGTCTTTTATCAAGGCCTTCTTAAAGTTGTATTTCTCCCAACAGGGGACCTAGATTCTGTGTAACACATAAATATGAAATAAAAAATGCCAGTGCTGAGCTGAAATTCTGGCATTCCCGCCAAGAGCGACCAAGGAAAGATATTGATCCTTTCCCACAAATGGTGACTCTTTTACCACTAAGACCTAAATCTTGCATGCCACAGATTCCTACATTAAAGGTAGGTTGAATTGTTGAGTTCATTATTGTGAAGTTTGTGATAAAAGTCCATATTTGGTTTATATGTATGTCTTCATCAAGTTTAATCATAAAACTCTTTTAATAATATGTATATTGAAATAACTTAGAAACAAAAAAATGAAATACAGCACCACATTTTAAAATGGAATCTTTCTTTTTTGTGTTTGTAATTATTCATGAATATAAAATTAGGCACATATCTCTTCCTTAGTTTCAGGGATGGTCAGAACCTTGCTTCCAGTGTGCCTTACCTTTTTGATTAGATGTAGGCATTTGTTTTAGCCCTGCTCTGTAGGGGTTGCCTTTCCCCAATCTGGACAACTCTGCACATCCTACTTCCTTCTCCCTTTTCTGCTTCACACTGCTGTCTGTCACCCTGGGACAACTCTACCCTCAAGCCAAACCTACCATGGAAAACAACCTGAACTCATTCCTCAATGATCAATAAGCTCCCATCCTATCATTCCTTTCCCACTCCCATGATTCTGAACACCCAGCTGCCATTGTTCAAATCCTGTTCCTGGCCTCCCACCAATTATTCCCTTATTCTTACCTCTTCAACACAATTCCAGGTCTATCTCTTTTGCCTTTTGTAATATTTTATTCTAAAATCTCCTCTGGTTTTTAGTACAGATTTACAGGTCAGGTATAATCCTGAATGTTGTGGTTCTTTGGTATTTGGACTGCTTCTTTCTAGATGTTTTAAATATTCTTTCTCTAATATGGGAACTCTGGATTTTGGCTATAACTTCCTTTTGGGATTCCTTTCAGGGAGATAATTAGTAGATTCTGTTTTCATTTCACCCTCTGGTTCTGATAGAACTGGGAAGTTTTTGTCTCTGCTTTATATATTTCATTATAAAGTATGGTGTTCAGTCCTTTGTTTTAAGTCATGGTTTTTAGGTAATATAGTGATTCTTAAATTCCCTCTCCTTGACCTAATTTCCATGTTAATTGTTTTTCATACCAGATATCTTGTATTTTCTTCTATTTTTTGTTTTAACATTTCTTGCTGCCTCATGTAGTCATTGATTTCTGTTTGTTTCTTTTTCCCAGTTATCAGTGTCTCCTTTACTTGGATGAGGTGTACCATTTTTTTCTTCTAAGCTCTTTATTCTTCTTAAAATTCTTCCAGAGCTTTTATTTCATTTTTTATTTCTTTGATTTTTCTCATGAAAAAAATCCATTTTTCCTTTGAGTTTGTTTGCAATTGTTATAATTACTCATGTCTTCTCTGGGGGTATCTTTAGAAGCATAATTTTTACTCTGGTTAATTTTTTTTTTAAATTTATCCATCTCTCTTGTTTTAGTTCCTGATTTTTTTTCCCTTGGGGCCAGGTTCTGTGCTTTGGGGCTTTTGGGTAAGGTGATAGCCCTTGCTTTAGTCTTTCCATCAGTGCCATGCTCTGGGATTAAGCCTTTCTTCCTATGACTTTGAAGTTCAGAGCACTCGATCTTTATGGGCTCTCTAGGGCATCACAGAACAGAGTGCCAGAGATCTTGGAACTCCTGGATCTTATGTGTCTTGGTCTGAGTACGCCATGATGTTCTCTGCTTGTTGCCACTCTTTCTCAAGGGGACCCTCCAATCCTGGTATTACTGGAGCCTTACTAATTATACTTATCTGTGGCCTCTTCTTAGTAGCACTGGAAAACTGGGCTTGTTTGCCTGTGCTGGCTTTATTGAAGACCACCTAACCCAGGGATGAGGCCTTGAGGCAAATCTCCTCAATAAAAGAATTTGTTCTGTGAAGTTTAGATTCAGTCAAAGGGCCGCACTTGAGGACCTAGAGGACCACATGTGACCTCAAGGCCGTAGGTTCCCCACCCCTGACCTAACCAGTTATCCTCAGGCTTCTGGCTGTCTTTGTTCTTTTTAGTGTTACTTCTTTCTTCTCTATAAGCACTTGAGAGCCTGTGACGCTAGCTAGGGTCCAAACATGGTTGATCCATTATCTTTGATAGTGAAAAGTTTTTTAAATGGTTTTTGCAAATCTTTTCCATTTTTCTTCTGTTTTTTAGTTTTCCTTCAAGTGTCATCAATGAAAGTCCTTGGGATAACTTTGTTTAGTTGGCATATCTTGCTAAGGTTTCTTTAAGCAAGTTTTATCCTCTACTGCTTCTTTCTGTTTTATGAGATGATACTTTTGATTATCATCCATCATCCATCATCCTCCTTCTTAATATTTTGTGGCTAAGTTTATATTCTAACCTTTGTTAACCATCACTATCCATTTGGCAAGTAAGTCATATGCTTGCTGATTAAGTTGCTTCCTGGGTTCTTTCAGTTTCCTTGTTGAGGAAACATTTACATTTATTTAACTTCTGGATAAAGTAATAGATGGTGATGATGTCATTTCTGTTGTCCATGTTCTGTTTTTGATCTTCAACAACTTGTTTAAATAATTTAGAGCTAAATCTTTTTTTAATTGTAAACTATATCTTTTTGTCATTATGATTGTTTGTTTTTGTTTTTGTTTTTTTGTTTATTTGTTTTTTAACTAATTCTGATTACTGAGCCAGGAGTCAAGAAGACCCAAGTTCACATCTGGTTTCAGACATTTACTAGCTGTGTGACCCTTGAAATCTGCATCAATTAACCTCTGTTTGCCTCAATTTCCTCATCTGTAAAATGGTTATATAGAACCTACCTCCCAAGGTTGTTGTGAAGATAAAATGAGATAATATTTATAAAATTCTTTGTAAACCTTAAATTTCTTTATAAATTATACTATAATTACTGTTGTTATTGTTATTATTATACAGTTAAGTGAGTTGCTCATTTATATTTTCAGGAATAAATGAAAACCTCAGATCTTAACTTTCCAAATCTACTTCACCATTAACTGAGTGTTGTGGTTTTTTTTTCTTTTCATTAGATTATCTAAAAAATTCAGTTATATGAGAGAGTTCATTTTCTAACAGTACTAGATGACTAAGACATTATTGTACTAGACAAAAACCACTTTTTATTCCACAGCTACAAAATAGCATTTATGTTACTTAGTGACCATGATCATGGTTGTTAAAACATCTGTGGTCTTTGACCTCCAAGAGGTTAAACTAAAATGTCCTCAAATAATTATTCTTTTTATCCAATTTTAAAATCTAGTAGCAGTTGTTAAGCATGCGTATTAGGTAGGTAGTGCATCATATTGTATATAAAACATACAGTAAATGTGTTTTTGTTCTCTAGCTGCTTACATTATAAGAGTTGCTATCCAAAAAAAGAGAAGAAATAATCCTTCAATGGCCTGAACATGTTCGGGTTTTCTCCTCTGGACCAAGAATTTAAGGCAATTGTTTTAAACTTGCATACACTTAAGAGAAGAAGAATATTTCTCTGTAATGTTGAATATTTTGGAAGGAGGAATGTACAATTCACTTTTTGGCCTTGGTCTACCCCCAGCCCCACTACTGATGGACTTCTGTGAGTTAGCTATCCAGTAAGGTATGGATAGAGAGAAGCCTAAAATTACATTGATACCACGATGTGGAGTAGGGAATGATATACAGCTCCTCAAGTAATCTAAAATAAATCTGAGGATTAGGGTTCAAAGCTGAGATGTTTTCTTCCATATATTCTTGCACATTGTCCATCATCCTGTCACGTTTTAGAAGGAGGAGTTCATCCAACCATGGTCTTTGAAATCTGCGAGGAAATCTGCCAAGAAATCTGAAAGAGCAGGCTCAGCCACTAGAAAATCAGCTGTGAAGATTGAGACTCCTGATGAAACGCTGGAGCAGGATCTTACTGGGAAGAGGTGGGTACAATTACAAAGGAAGTTACTGTTCTGTTTTACCACTCAGACACTTGGAGCAAACAGGTGTGTTTCCATTATCCACAGATCTCGTTTGTTTGAGGGATTTTCACTTTCAGTAGAAATTGAGAATTAATTGAGTGGTATTTGATGTGCATTCTTATGTTTCAGGAGTAAATATTCCTGCTTGTTACTTCTGCATGTGAGTGCACACTACTGAGGGGTAGGTCCAGAGAGTACTCATGTCAAAGGGAAGAGTCCTTTTGAATTCTAGAGTCCTTAGAACTCTCAGAGAATCTTGCTCTTAATAAGGCAGCAAAGACTAATGACATCGTTTCATTTTATTTCTTGTTATCTAACTTTTTCTTAACTTTGTCCTTTGCCTATCCTTCACCATCATTGAATCTTATTTCTAAGAGTTGTTATTTTCAGTTAAGTTCAACAAACAATTATGAAGTGCCAACTGCATGTAAAGTACTGTGTTTTAAGTGTTGAGGATCATAGATCCCAAAAAGTACCTGATTTAAAGGAGCTTACATCCTATTTGTGTGAACACATGGAGGCAGAAGATGGAATATTGAGTCTGGGGAACGGTTACTAGTTCAGTTTTTTTCTCCCTAGCAGAATGTAAGCACCTGGAGGGAAGAGATTTTTGTTTTTGTTTTCCCAGTGTCTGGCATAAAGCAGGCAAGTAATAAATGTTTATTGACTTTAAATTAATTGAGTTTAGATTAAACATTTAGATGAGTGTGTAAAAGAGAGTAGTATAAATAATTTTGAAAAGATAGGTGGCAGTCAAGTTGTAGAGACCCTTATGTGCCGGGATAAGGAGTATCTGTTCTATGCTAGAGGCAATATAGAAGTCACTGAATATATGTGAATAGTGAAATGATATGGTCAGAACTGGGTCTTAGGAAAATTTTCTGATGATTGTGCAGGGGATGAATTGGAGACCGGAAAGACAGGAAAGAAGCAGGGAGAACCTTTAGGAGGTTTTACTTAAGACCAGGCAAAATGTTATCATGGCCTATACTAGGGTGATAGATGTGGAGAGAAGGGGACTGATGTGAGAGGTTCCACTGAGGTAGGGGTGACAATATCCTTGCAACTGATTGGCATTGGGGGGAGAGGAAGATGGAAGAGTCAAGGTTGTGAACCTGAGTGACAATGGGCCAGGAAATCAAGACCAAGCCTCAGGCTTTGTGAGTCATCTGCCAAGAGAAAGAAGACCCAGGCTGGAGGCTTGAGACACACCCACAGTTAGGGAGCAGAAAACAGATGATGATAAATCAACAAAAGAGACTGAGTAGATAGACAGGTAGGAAAAAGAACCAGGAAAAAGCAGTGTCCTAAAAATCCAGAAAAGAAAGAGTACCCAGGAGGATAAGGGAGATGCTCTAGAGATAAAAAGAAGGATAAAGCCTGAGTAAAAGCTGTCAGATTTAGCAATTAAAAGATCATTGCTAACTTTGGAGAGAGAAGTTTCAGTTCAGTGATGAGATAAGAAGCCAGAGTCACATTGCAAAGTTTCAGAAGTGAGTGAAAAGAGAGGAAATGGAAGGAAGTAGTGGAGACAGCTTTTTCTAGGAGTTTGGCTGTGAAATGGAGAAGATACATAGGAAGATAGCTTGAGAGGATGGTAAGGACAAATGATGATTTTTTTTAAAAGGTGGCCATGTTTGAAGGCAGCAGTGAAGAATCCAGTAAATGAAGAAGAAATTGAAGATTGGAGAGAGATAAGGCATAATGGTGGGCATAATCCTCTGGAGTATTGAGGAGTGGATGGCATCGGTGGCCTTTGTAGAGGAATTGTCTTTGGGGAGAAGGGTCACCTCTTCCGCAGTGACTGGAGTAAGGGCAGAGATGCTTTAAAATAATGTCAAGAGGTTAGGAAATGGAAAGGGAGGAAGAGACATATATTATGGCAAATACTCTCTATTTTATTAGTAAAACTTCAAGACCTTTCACTGAGAAGGGTAGGAAGAGGTGAAGATGTGGGAAATTTGAGGATAGAAGAGAAGATCTTGAATAATCTCTAGAGAGTGGGATAGTGAATCATTTAGCGAGGAGTAAAACCATTGGATTGTTGCAGTGGAATTTAAAGTTGTTGACAGGAAATAATGTGTAATCAGCCTGGAAAGACAAACTAGATCCAGGTTGCAAAGAGTCTTAAATGCTAAGCAGAGGTTTGTATTTTATCCTAGAGTAAATAAAGAGTTACTAGAAATTCTTGAATGGAGGAGTGACATGGCTGGTAAACCTATGCTTGAGATATATCGGTCTGGCAGCTGTGTGGAGAGACAGGAGGCAGGGATGCTAATTAAGAGGCTGTTTATTGCAATGGTTCAGGCACATGATGATGAGGTCCAGGACTAGCATGGTAGTAGAATGAGTAGAGAGAAGGAGACAGATGTGATAGAGGACCTAGAGAAAGAAGAGAAAAGGGCCCAGATCAGAGTCGTGGGTGTGTTTACACACCTGGAGTAGAACATGGATGATGATCCTGAAGTGGAGATTAAGAAACATTGGTCAGACAGGTAGGAAGAGAGCCATGATGCATCAGTGTTGTGAAGACCCAGGGAGGAGAGATAGTCAGAAGCAGCAGGCTGTCAACAGTATTGAATGCCTCAGTAAGGCCAAGAAGGATTAAGATGTCAGAAAAGGCCTTGCATTTAGCAATTAAGGGATTATCAGTGACCCTGGAGAAAATATTGGTGGAGACAGTAGCCAGATCACAAGGTATTAAATGGGAGCTGGAAAGGTACCAAACAGAAACTTCACTTACTTTAGTTTTTTGCCTTGGACTGATACTGTATTGATAGGTTAAATGTCATACTTCCAAATCATAGACCAAGCAAATGAAAGAGAAAACAATGAAAATCAAAGCATATCATTCTTAGATCAATTCCACCTACTAGAAATGAATGATTTCCCATGTTTATAGTCTTTGTGCTTGTTAATATAGATAATCTAATAAATAACAGTAAGAACTTTTATCAGATGCAGAGATTTTTAAAAACAATTGACCTAACTGGAAAAAAAGAACTTTTAAAATTTGAATTATTTTGGGTAACAGTCAAGGTTTGATATATCATTGATAGTGAAAATTAGTTTTATTGATGACTTTTGTTTCATTTTGTTTTACATTATGGTCATTTCTAAATCTAATCTCCCCTTTCAGTATGGAACTTTCACTTTTAAAGAAAAACAACCCAGCAAAACCAACTGATAGTGACCTCATTTGAATAACATATGTAATATTCTGTACCCATAGGTCTCTCCCCCCACTTCTGCTGAGAAGAGAGAGATCTGTTAAGTTTTCTATTCTCTAGGACCAAGATTAATTATTACAATTCCTCAGACTTATATTTTATCTATTACTGCAAAAATGAAATACTGTTTTAATTCCCACTATACTATTATAGAAAATACTTTGTTAGATAATAGAAGTTATATAGTGCTTTACTTGGTGTCAGTGAGACTTGGGTTCATATTCCACCTCTGATACTTAGTAGGGGTGTGACCACCTAATCTCGCTGATCTTCAGGAAATTCTCTAAGAGTATAAATTATAAACCATTTGTGATATGAGTAAGTGGATGAAGTTCCCATAGCAACAAAATCACCAATAGATTACATTAGCTAAAACAGAATCTTTTTTTCCCCCTAAACTAGCTTCCTTCCCAATTTCCTATTTTTTTAGTAATCAAAGTATAAAACCTTGGGATTATTTTTTTATTTTAATTTAATTTTAAATTTTTAAAATTTTTTCTCTTCATATATCTAATTTTTATTTCCCAAATTTTCTCAAATCCCTCCCTTTTTTTTCCTTTTCTGTTGCCATCAGCTTAGCTCAGGCCCTTATCATCTCACGCCTGGACTATTCCAAACAACTCCCTCCACTGATAGAAGTTCATAGTTATCTGTAACTTAGAGTAATACAGAGTTGCTAGGGTTGCTGAGAGTTTCTAGTAGGTTGCCCATGGTTGTAGAGCTAATACTATGTGTCAAAGGCAGGTTTCTTTGCTCAGAGGCTGGTTTGTCTATTTTGTAATGCAGCTTCTAAATGATATACTATGTTGGGAAGCAAAGCCAAAATGGCGGAGTAGCAGGAAGAAATACCGCTGAGCTTCCTCCCCTTCCCCCACAATTTCTCCACAAAGATCTAGAAAGTGCACTGGATAGAGTCTTGATTGGGAAATTTAAGAAAAAATTACAATGCCATTTTTCTAGTCCAGCTGAGCATAGAGAGATAGACAGAGATGTCTATGGACACTAGAGATTGGATCTAGCCTAGAATAGCCTCATGGAGCATTCACTGACATGATTTCCCTGTGCAAGAACCAAGACTGTGCCCTCAGACAAGGCCTTGACCCACATAGAAAGGCCTGACCGTGCACAGGATTCAGGTATCAATGCCCATCGGCATCTCTGTCATCCACCACCCAGTTTCAGGGCATAGATCCAGGGTAGACTCATTGAGGTGACCTGTGCCTACGGATGGTGTTGCGGAGTGAAGATTGGGTGGGAACCTGACAGTGGGTATTAGGGGTTCACTCAGAAATAAGCAAAAGCTGTATGACTAACAAGATGAGGTATAAACATGTTTTCAGATCCTCTTGACCTCTCAAAATTTCCAAAATAGAAATGATGCACCAGAGATAAAGCAATTTCAGCTTTCCCCATGGTCTAGGACTCCAAGAAACAAAGAAGGTAAAAACCTCATCAGCCTTACTCATGTTTCCTTAGCACCTTCTCTCCCACCATCCACCATTCTCACTAGCCAACTCAACCTACAGGCTTGCAAAAGAATGTCACACTACACCCTAACTCCCCTGCCCAGAAATCCAAACTCCAAACTGCACTGAATGCTGAAGGAGAAGAGAGGCAGAGATAGGGCAAAATACCTTTCTGCGTTTGTGATAGAGCTCAATGCCATACTCCTACTCCTTTCTCTCAGTGCTGTGAAGATCCAGATTCCAAATGGCAGCTGTATTAGCAGCA